AGGACCCCGGTGTGAGGAGCAAGTGGTCAGCCAACAGCAGCCTGGACGTAGGTGGCAGGGGTGGGAGCAGGCATGCAGTGACCTGGAATAGAGGGGTCTTTGGCCTGCTGTTTCCTGGGGCCTCTGTGACTCGGTGTCCCCTCCGTGCAGACGTGGCCTCTATCCTGATCCCCCTGCTGTTGCTGCTGACAGTGCTTCTGGTAGCTGGACTGGTATTCTGGTATAAGTGGCGCATCCGAGGGTGAGTTATGGGGGGTCTGGAAACTTTGTGCCATTATTTGACCTCCCTGGCTATACCCTCAAGAGCCTCCGTGCCCCTATACACCTATGTCTCCCCAGAGCTAAGGGCTTCCAGCACCAACGGATGACCAATGGGGCCATGAACGTGGAGATTGGGAACCCCACTTATAAGATGTATGAAGGCGGGGAACCTGATGATGTGGGGGGCCTCCTGGATGCTGACTTTGCTCTGGACCCTGACAAGGTGGGCTGGGAGGCCAGAGCTGGTGGCTTCCAGGGCAGGGACAAGAGGCCGTGGGTGGGTAACTAAGGATCTTGGGTTGGATGAGAGAATCAAGGTAGGGGTGGGGTACCTGGGCCCTAGAGCCCAGCCCTCAGGCCCCATCTGAATCCTCTGTCACCTTGCAGCCCACCAACTTCACCAACCCTGTATACGCCACGCTCTACATGGGTGGTCACGGCAGCCGCCACTCCCTGGCCAGCACAGATGAGAAGCGAGAACTGCTGGGCCGGGGCCCTGAGGACGAGATAGGGGACCCGTTGGCATAGGGCCCTGCCCCACCTGCCTTCCCCCAGAGAGCCTCCTGCCCCCCTGCCAGAGAAGTTCTTCAGGGAGTCCCCCTCCAACCCAGCCAGCCCCTCCCCAGCCTGCCAGGATGTATAAATGTAAAAATGAAGGAGTTACTTTTTATATGTGAGTGAGCAAGCAAGCGAGCAAGCAAGCACAGTATTATCTCTTTCCGTTCTTCTCCTTCCTTCCTGCTCCTCAGCACACTCCCTGCTGCCTTCAGGGATGGGGGCGGGGAGGGCTCTGGGGGCTCCTGCAGCTTACAGATACAAGGGGCCCCACCTCCCATGGCTCACCAAAATGCACCCCCACTGGGAGAGCTGGTGGTACTAGATACTTTGTCAAGGCTCTCCCTGCCCTGCCCCTCCAGCCCCTTCCAGCTCCCTGGGGGCTATTTCTGGGCATGGGGAGATTTGGCTCTGGCTAAAGTGGAAGGGAAGGATGGAGTTTTTTAGTTCTTGGAGGAGGCCATCCTGTGCACCAGCCCCCCACTCCAGAGGCACGTCTGAAGTTGCCACACTCAATACCCCTCCCAGAAAGCTCCCCACCCCCACCCCCACCCCCGCCACCAGGGCCCCAGCGTGGCTCCCAGGGCTGGAGACTTTCTTTGGCTAACAGTTCCCCAGCCTCCCTTCCTTGGGGGCAAGGAGATGGGGCACACTAAGGAAGGGCAAGCGGGCAGCCCCGTTTTGGGGACATGAACATTTTAATAATTTTTGCTGAATTCCTTTACAACTAAATAACACAGATATTGTTATAAATAAAATTGTAAAAAAAAGAAAAAAGAAAAAAGAAAAAAGCCACTTGTGTCTACCTGTGAGTTTGAGATGCTGGGAGCTGGGCTGTGCTTGCCCGCCTCAGACACCAGAGGGCGCTCTCCTCCGGACCGGAGGCATGCTTGAGCCTAGTCTTCAGCGCCTCTTTCCCTGAGCTCCCCCACCCTCATCTTGATGTGGCGGAGGAAGTGGGTGGCCCTGGATTTACTGAGGAAGATCTGCTGCTCCTGGATGATGACCTTAAACCAGTGACTTCACCTTTCTCTGGATCTTACATTCTCTCTGGTTCTAGGACACTGATCTGTGTCTGCATTGTCACTTTCACGGAACACCACCATTACCCCTACCCAAAACCATCACCCCCACTGAGAAATCCCACAATAAGAAATTAACACACTGGGGTTGTAACTAGCTTTCTAGTCCTTCAGGACGGTCCCCTTCATCTCTCTCTGCCTGAATTTACTCTTGAAGCCTAACATCTCACACTTCTTGGAGACCAATTAATCAGATGCCAAGAGTAGAACCCTGGATTCAGGAGAAGGGGGGCCCCCTGGAGTGAAGGAGCAGTTTGCCAAGCACCACCAGCCACCAACAGACCCAGCTTCCAGTCATTTTAGACATCTCAGGGGTTGACAGAAAGGACTGCTGCAATGCAAGGAGTCCCAGGTCTACTTCAACCCCTGCCCACAGAGCAGTACCAGTTGCCGAAAGAAGGTCGCAGAGCTTTTATACTAAGATTGAGAGTGGGTTAGAGCCCCACTCTCCCCTTGACAATAAATTTGAGCTCAGGGAGGGTGGCTTGCAAACACCTCAAGAACCCTATCTGCCCTCCACAGACGCCTTTCATTCTTTCCCTCTCCCTGGTTCAACTTGCCTAGTCTGCTTATTTTCTTGAGGAAGCTACAGGTCTAGGCACCTCTAGACACAAGAGCCTTCGGCTTCCCTCTTAGCTCATCTCCAGCCTCACCTTCCAAGCCATTTCTGAGATCCTCCACTGGTTCTGGAGCTCCCCAGGGCAGAGGGACCCTGCTGGGAAAAAGGGGTGTCCTTGTTGATTGCATAGGGAAGCTTTTGCCCTCATCTGTCCACAAGGTGGCGAACACACTCCTGCAGCAATGCTCATCCTGAAGCCCAGCACAACTCCTCCCCAATATACACTAATTAAGCACCAGCCCAGGGGGGACCCCAGCCCAGCCTCTCACTTCCTTCCCTCTGGCTATTCTGCCACACCGCCTCTATCCTCTGCCAGGTGGCTCCTCTCCCCCTGCGCCTGCCTATTCCCCCTACCACCACCAGCCCCGTCCCCACTCCCTCCCTTTGCCAGCCATGCATCTGGCGCCCCCGGGGAGCCACTGATTCTCTGCCTGTCGCCTCAAGATCCTGGGCAGAGCAAGAGGGGCCCCCAGCTGTGGCTTGGAACACACACCCTCCCAGGCAGCACCCTCCCTCTGCCCACAGGCACCGGCCAGGAGATGGTCTAGCAGGAGGCAGCCTTGGAAAACTCCCCATCTGGAAAGGATGGCAGACGGGCAGAACCAGGGGCAGACACTGATACAGACAGAATGAGAGACAGAAATACAGAGATGGAGATAGATACAGCGGCAGAGGCAAAGACCCAGAGACATGGAGTGGGGTGTGTGTATGTGTGTATGTGTGTGTGTAGCTGGAGAGTGAAGGGGGTGACCTGAGAGCATAGCAAAGGGAGAACTGATGGGGGTGGTCAGGACTCCAGAAGATCAGGACCCAAGCAGTGGCTTCTGTATTGGGCACCCTTGGCCTGTTGTTCTCACTGCCCCCACCCACTACCACAGCAGTCCCTGTGCTTGGCACCTGGGCTCAGAATTCTGGCTGGAGCCTTGGGGCCTTAGGCCTGGCGGTTCCTGCTCCTTTCTGCCTCTCCTTTCTGCCCATCCTGCACCCAGTTTGCTGCTTCCTGGCTGTTCTCTGTGTCTCTGGTTGTGTCTGTGTCTGCCTCATCGTCTCAGCATCCCTGACCGTCTTTGTGTTTGTCACATCCCTGTATATGTCTGTTAGATGTGCCTGAGTTTGTCTTTTGGACTGCCAGTGCCAATGTACACCTGTGTGTGTGTCCATCTGTTGTGGACCTTTGCCTCTCTGCCAAAGCAAGGAAAAGGGGGTGGGCTTTGCGTACCTGGCTGGGTGTACTTTTATCATGGAGCAAGTGTGTGTGTGTGTGTGTGTGTGTGTGCTCCTGTGTGTTTGTAACTGGAGTGTGTCCATCCCTGCACGTCAGTGTGCCTCGTACCTCTAGGTGTGCACCTGTCTGTGTGTGCTGATCTCCAAGTGCATGTGTTTTGCTCTGCCTGTGTTCACCTGCATGGTGTGAACTGCTGCTGCAAATGCATCTGTGTGCATGTCTGGGAAGGGGTTGGGGGGCTCAAAATATGCCTCTGTCTCTATCTCCGGTTGTCCCTATCTCTCCCTGTCTAGGTGTTGGTCATACCACAACCTCAGCCACAGCCTCAGTGCATAGCAACGGCTGACAGCTGAAGACTCCCAGGGTAGGGGAGAGAGACTGGTGGAGGAGAGAGCCGGTGAAGCAACAGCCAAGAGGATAGGGACAGAGACAGGGCTGGGGCTGGGGACAGACACAAGGACAGACAGAAGAGGAAGGGGGGAGGATGGTGAGGAGCTGATAGTGAAAGATGGGACAGTGGGAGGGAGGGATAGAGATTGCACCAGGAGGCGCTGAGGGGACCTCCTGCCCAACCCCATGCAGACACACTCTGGGACGCCCGGGGATCAGCGGTGGGGGCCAGGGGCAAAGGTGAACTGCGGGTCTAATGAAGGGGTCCTGAAACTGCGCGGAGGTGCCTTGCGTGTGGGGCGGGGGCGGCGGGCGCCGTTTGTTAGCCCTATTGACAGACGTGATGGGGTTTCCGTCCGTGATCAATGATTCTCATCTCTGGGGGCGAATGAGCCACGGGGCGCCCATCTATCCTCGTCAGCGCCGTTGGGCCTTAGCCGCCCCAGGCCCCTCCCTCCCGCACCTCAGCTCGGCCCGCTCCTGCCCCGGGCCCACCTTGGCCCGGAGCATACAAGGGGCCGGAGCACAGAGAGCCCCTGGCTTTGCTGGGCCACTGAGCCTCGCGAGGTTCCTGCTCCGCCATGCACCCCTTTGGGGCCACGGTCCCGGAGCCCTGAGCCCAAAGCCCCAGCCCAGTCCTCACCGGGGTACAGACCCAGCCTCTGGGTTACCAGCCACCCACCCAGGTTCGCACCTGGTTCAGGGGTGTGTCGGGGGCGTGTCGGGGTGAAAGTCACCTTCGGTGCCCCCAGCTGGGCGGGAGGGGGCGCGCGGGGCGCGGCCGGGATTGGAGCGACGCGGAGCCCCGCCCCCCGCCCGAGTCAGACTCAACTTTCTCCCCCGCCCGCGCCCCGCCCCCAGCGCCGCGCTCCGCTCCGCTCCCCAGTCCGAGGGCCGCGCCGCCCGCTCCCGCCGCTCCGCCAGCCGCCCCGCGGCGCGCCAGCCCGGGGCCCTCGCCCCTAGGCCCGGCTCTGGCCTGACCCGGGACTCGCCCTGCCAGCCCCGCTCGGCCTCCCGGGAAGATGCGGCTGCACCCGGAATGGCTTCTCTTGCTCTTTGGCCCTTGGCTTCTAAGGAAGGTAAGGGAGGTAGGGTTGCAGAGCAGGCATGGGGTCCGGGGCGCAAAGGTCCCAGAGTGCCAGGGGTTCAGTGCGTCCGCCCCGTCCCCAGCGCCGAGTGTCCCAACTTTGCTCAGCTAGAGGGAGGCGGACAGACTCCGCGATTCCGTACAGACGCACTCCCAGAGCAAGTTGGCTGGGGAGTGGGTCGTTGGGGGGGTGCCGGGGTGGCGGCCTGTCTTGGATCTGTCTCCCGGCGCAGCGGGGGAGGGGACGAAGCCCGACCCGCGAGTGCGCCAGACTGAGCGGGAGTGCGAGACAGACAGACAAGCCAGTGGAGTGTCAGCCTTGCCGTCTTTACGCGCCAACCTCGCTCGCCTTCCTGGCTGTCTGTCCTTCCACCCCGCCACCCCCGCTTACCCATTGCTCCTGTCTGGACTTGTCACAATGCCAGGTGGGCACTGTGTTCCGAGCACTCACGCCCCGAACACACGCGCGCGCACACGGACTCACACAGATACGGCCGAACTTGGCTACAGTCTCCCATCACCTTTCCCACGGAGACTTCATCTCCCGGGCACAGCCTCAAAGACACACCCCTCTCCTGCGCCGGGCTGATGAGGGGTGGGGAATGTCTGGAAGGGGAGTCTCTCCTTCTGCCCCCCTCCCGGCCCCCTGGTTCCTAGGCTGCCACTTTCCCTGAGGCTCTGGGGCGAGGACCCAAAGCTAAGGAGGCCCAAACTCATCTGCCTCCCTCATGACTGTAGAGGCTTCGCCTCGTGTACACAATGTGCTTGTATGTGCTAGTGTCCAGTGTGTGGGTCAGCCTGTGCACCTGTGTGTGGGTATGTGTCCAGGGAAGCCAGGCTTGGGTGTTTAGTGCCAGGGTCTGTGTGTACACAGGTATGGTGCCGTGGCGTTGGCTTTGAAAGGGTGAGCGCAGTGCCTGCTTCCCAGTGCGGCCATCTATTTGTGCCCCGCTGTGTGTGCCACCATGGGGGCCTAGGCCCTGGACCCCTGTTTCCTTCCATCAACTCCCCTTCCAGTGATTTTCCTGTTTCCTCCACCTCAGCACCTTAGGGGCAGCCAGGTGGCTTTCTAAACCCTTACTCCCTGCACCTCAACCCCCAACCCTGTAGCGTCTGAAGAGGTGCAGTTCTTCTCCCAACATTTGGACCCCTACCTGCTTAGCCAAAGCTCACTCAGCAGCTCCAGGAGGGTGGGGGCTGCCCTAGTGAAACTGGTGATTGAGCTTCCTGGTTCTCCCAAAGCGGCCTGGTGACCTTGAGGGGCTGGAAGTTGAGCAGAGGAGCCCCCTCCACAAAAACTGCTTTCTCTGGCAAGGGCTTCTTTTAGTCTTGCTGCCTGGTCCTGCCCCTAGAGGATCCCTGGAGGGGCCCTTTGCCCTTTGCCCACCAGAGTGTGAAGACCGGGGCAGAGGAGGTAGGGAAGCTGCCCACTGCCCCTCCTTTCTACTTCCTCTGCACTCTCCTCTCCTCTCTTCCCATCAAATACACTCCTCTGTGGACAGATCTGGTTTAATTTTCTTTGCCCCCTGAAGGGGAATGAAACATCTGGTGGAGACTTGAGGGAGAGTAAGCATGAGTATGTGAGCAATGGGGATCTGAGTGTGTGTGAGCTGCAGCTGCGGGCCTCCGTGTTGGAGTCAGTGGGGGAGAGTGTATCTGCTATCTAATCCAGCTTGTGTGCCCTGTGAGAATCCGTGTTTACACGTACAGATGTGAGTGTGTGACTATGTGTAACTGAGCCTGTGTGTGTGTGTAGAAAAGTGTGTGTCCAAGTACCTATCTGTGTGTGACTGTGTGCACTTGTGAGTACAGTGTGTACACGTGTGTACTCCAAGGTGGGTCTCCACTGCCTCTGTGTGCTGGGGCATGTGTGTTTTTTGTATGTGAGTCTCCAGTGTCTGTGAGTGTGTATCTGAGTGCTTGTGATTTTGAGTGCTTTTAAGTGTGGGTATGGGATTGTGAACCTCAGGATGTGTCCATGTATCTGTGTGAGGTCATGTGTGTGTTCAAGGCCATCTCAGTGCTGGAGCTGGGAGTCTGTTGACACTGGGTATGAGGCTTCAGGAGACAGTTCCCAGGGCAGCTCTTGGGGAAACCCAAATTGTCCAACCTAACAACCTGCCTCTCCCATCCTGCTTGCTTGTGCCTCCTCCAGAAGCTCTCTCCCTCCTTCCTCCTTGCCCCAGGCTCCTGTCTCCTCACAGGGCCTGGGACTCCTGGCTTCTGCTGCCCCTGGGGTTCTGGCCTTTACAGGCCAGGCCTCATTCAGGATCTTTCTAATATAGTCTCTGGCTCCTCTACCAACCTGTTTCTGTCTTCCCCACCCCTTGTCTAAACAGCTGCCTACTGGGAGAAGCAGCAGGCGATCAATAGTCACTAATCACTAATCACTAATTACTAATTAGCTGGGGGAGGGCAGGGGCAGGGCGCTGAGGGACTTTCCAGCTCTATCCTGCCTCAGGGAAGGATTAGGCCCAAGCAAGTCTCAGGGCTTGCTGGCCCCAGCCGGGCATCTAGCCACCACCTGCGTCCTGCCCCTGCACCTCCCCTCTGGCCCCCCTACTAATCTCTGGCTGGGCCACTTAGGCACGTGCTGTCTGGGCTAGGGCTCAGAGCTGTTGGTGGGGATTTGGGGGTAATGAGGGGCTGCATCTGGGCCAGGGACACAGGAAGGGGGTGGGGGGACTCTGTGACAGCCCCCTTAGGACAGAATCTGTGAGTAGAGGGATACCTGCTGGAAAGGAGAATTTAGAGGATCATGGGGTTAGGGTGGCAGAGGAGCTGGAGATTGAGGACAGAGTGACTAGGGAAGAGTTGAGGTAATTCAGGGACAGAAAAAAGGTAAAGGAAGGATCTCTGGGGTCAGACAGGGTCATTGGGAAGGGGTGAGATTAAGGGGAGATACCAGGTTGGAAGGGGCATCAGAGGGGTCAGGGATGAAGTCATTGTTACGGAGATGGAGAACTTTGCACAGAGCCCTGCAACTCCACATGGGGGCCTAGGAAGGGGACGGGGTCACAGAGAGAGGGCAGGATCATGGGGGAGGGGTCCCAGGCTTCAGGCGCAGCGGGGTGCGGTGGGGCGTCTTGGGCCATAGAGTGGGAGTGAGCTGCCAGGCGGGGATAGGGAGCAGGGAGCGCTGCCTTGAACGCTGGAAATTGGCGAGTCTCCCCCTCTCCCTCGCCCGCCCCTCCTCCACCTCCACCCCGCCCACTCCCCCTTCGGCTCCGGCTTCGGGAAATTACATCCCGGCTCCGCGGCTCCCATCGCCCCCCCGCCACACACACACCGCGCCCCGGAGCTCGCGCCTTTATAGGCACATTTATTGCAATAATAAAGTGAGGCGCGGGGCGGGGAGCGGGGGGCAGCCGTTCCCGGGGGGACCGCGCCGGCTCTAGGAAGCAGGGAAATAAAATAAAATAAAATAAAATCAAAATTCAGATAACGGTGAGCCATGCGCTGCAGGCCGTGAGCAGGCGGGCAGGCGGGGCTGAGGGGGAGGGTGCGCCCGGCCCAAGGGCAGAGCCCGCCCCACCAGCGGTGCCCGCCCCCTCACGCTATAGTAGGGTCTGGAACGAGGTATCTTCGTCTTTTCCACCTGTCTGCCCCCTCCAATGGCTGGAGGCTCCCGGTCTTCTGCCTTTTCCTCTCACTTGTCCCTCACACTGTCCTCAGCTCCTGTCTCTGCCCCTGTCCCCCATCTCCTTCCTTGTCCCTCATTTCCCGTTCCAGTCCCCGTTCACATTCCCCATCTCTGTTCCCTGGGTCCTTGCATCCCTCAGCACCCCTTTTTCTGCCCAATAACCATTCCCCACCCCCCATTTCTGTTCCCACCTAGCCGGTCCCCATTTCCATTTCCCAATTCCTGTCCCATTTTCATTCCTGTCAGTCCCCAATGCCCATGCCCTCACCTACCATCCATGTCCTTCCCCACCTCCATTTTGGTTCTCATCCCATTCTGTCCCCCATCTTCATTACCCTGGTCCCTACCCCATCTGCATCCCTGTCTCTGCCCAATGCCTGTCCACCATTTCTGATCTCTTCATTCCGGTTCCCCTGTCTATCCTAGTTCCAGTCTCATCTCGGCATCATATACCCACGCCGGCCAGTCCTTAATCTTAGGCCCCCTCCATCTGTATCCCAGTACTCACCCCATCCTGTCCTGTCCACCCCACCTCTGTCCTTCCTCCCACCTCTATCCCTGGTTCCCAGCCAGATGCCGGCTATTCCTCCCCGCCCTGACTGCGGTGCCCCAGCCTGTTTCCAGGTGCAAGGGCTCAGTACGCTATTCCCTCCCCTTCCCCAACCCAGGCCTGGAGCACTGTTTCTTCCCCAACCAGGGGGTGCCGTCCCCTCCCCCGGTCCGCCTCCAAAGCGCCCCGCCTGACCCACGCGGTAGAAGCGAAGCCACGGCCCAGTCTGGAGACCTGAGGGAAGTGCGCCCTGCAATGCGGCTGGGGGGCCGACAGCCTGATCCTTCACCCATTCCCAGCGGTCCCATCCCCAAAGAGCCCCCACCCCCACCCCAGTGGAGTTTGTTCAGCAAGAGGCAGCCTCAACTCCTCTCCACTGCGTGGGATCACTGCCCTGGGGGCAAAGCGCTCTTGGCTCGGCCTCCGCCCAGCGCAGGTCTAGAGACGCCTGGTGGAGCGCCCGCCCCACCCTCATCCCCCCACCTGCCTCTGAGCACCCCCCAGCCCCGCGCGCCGACAGCCCAGTTAGCCTCTCCCCTCTGCAAATGTCACCGCACCCAATTAGCTTAATTAAACCAGCTCTGGAGCGAGGGGGACCCCTCCTCGGACAGCACCTTGCTCCCACTCTCAGCCCTAGAGGGGGAGGGACAGAGCAGGATTCTGGGCAAAGAGGGGCCCTTTATCACCCTGCTCTCTCCTCACTCTCTCCCCCACCCAGTTGGAGACAGACAACCTGAAGGATAGAGGGAAAGAACCGCAGTTAGACAGAAACAGGGAGAAAAACAGAATCAAGGAAGGAGAAAATTAGGGACAGAAAGAGTAAGGGAGAGCCTGAGAGACAGCAAGAGGCTGAGAGAAAAGTCGGAGTGAGAGAGATGGATAAACAGTGAGAGAGGGAGAGCAAGCGTGCAAGCAAGGACGCCAGAGGGAGGATTTTATTTTATTTTATTTCGTGTTCCCATTTCTCGGCTCGTTTCCTCAAAGACTCTCACCCCTCCCTGTCTGAGCTTCCCCAAAGGTTGCTTTGGCCACTGCCTCCCCAACCCTTCCCTTTTATCTTGGCTGTCTCCTGCCTCCAGTGAGGGGGGTGCGGGTGCCTAAAACCCGGAGATTTGACAGGATCAGAGAAACATGGCCAGGAATTTGTTTGGGATCAGAGTGGGGGACACCTGGCACCCCTCACTGCCCAGCCAAATCTCCATCTCTGTAACAGCCTTGACAAGTCTGAGCTGGGTGCAGGACAAACAGTGCTGTGGGGGTGTGCAGAGGTGGCGGCTTGGAGGCATTTGGGGTCATAGGAGAAGGCAACTGGGACTGATGGATGTCCCTGGAAAAAACAATGGTTGGGCCCAGAGGGGGATATTAGGTGTCAGGGTTCAAACAACACCCCCTTTCATTTTCCCTGTAGGCTCCAGGCACCCCCTCCTCCAGTACTCTCCTTGGGGCTCAAGCAGTGTCCTCTCTGAGGCCACCTCCTCAGGCCTTGGCCAGCCCTCCCCGCAACCCCTCTCAGGTCCACCCTCCCAGTGTTGGCTGCTAGTTCAGGCTTGTCAGTCTGAGTCAATCACTCTTGCTGCCCCCACCCCCTCACCTGGGCTGGGAGGAGGGAAGGAGGGGAGGAGGAATGAGGGGGGTGATAAATATGTATGACGAGTGAGTGGCGGAGGCATTAATAACCCCGGGATCGCAGTGCTGCGGGGATGGGGACCAGGCAGTGGAGATTCTAGCCCAGCAGTTTGACTCTGACGTTCCTGTCCCCCATGGACACATGGTGTGTACATACGGGTATGTGCAGAGGGGGCCGCCTGTGTTGTCAGGCCTCTTTACCTATCCAAAGCTCAGCCTGCAGGCCAGTTGGTGGGATGCCTGCAGGGACCATTCATATACAACCTACACATATGCACCCCATGGGGGAACACAGTGAGACCACACTTGTTCTATCACGTGGATACACTGACACACTTCAGAAAGAGCTTCACTTGGGGGTAAAGTGCTCCAACCCTTCAGAAAGAGCTTGACACCTGGTCAGAGGATGATAGGAGCTCACACAGGAATGGTAACCCCCAGAGAATCACACACAGCCACCATCAAACATACAGCAAACCCAGGAATACTACATCAGTCACAAAGACACAAGTACCACAGACTGATACAGCCTCACTTTATAACACATGGACACACAGCTGATACAGATGCACATACGTACCAGGCATATATATACACAGCCATCGCAGACTGACACAACACATATTCAGCCACCACAAGCAGGCAGACATATATATATACATATATACACACAGGCTCCTCAGACTGATACACATGGGGCATAGAGACACAGTCACCACAGCCACACACAACAGTCACCGTGCACAGCCACCCCAGGCAAACACATACAGCCATTACCATAGGTGTACATACCTACATACCATCCCAGGTTAACAGAAACACAGCCACCCCAGAATCATATACACAGTATTCCTTCTCCCCAGTCCAAACCCACATGCTGTAAGGGCCACACTGAACGGCCATAGCAAGAGCAGGCTGACTGACACACTCTGACGAGCAGGGCTCCTCTCCCTCCCGCTCTGCTGGCTGGAGAGGCATCTCCATATTTCTTCCTCTAGCTCTCCTCTCCCTGGTCTCCTTCATTCCCGCCCCCCACCCCCCACCCCGCCCCAGATAATTGATGGCCCAGGCCTGGCCCTGCCGCTCCTCCCTCTCGATCCATCTTGTACTTGAGCGCTCCCTGCCTCCCTGATCTGCCTCCACCTGAGACACAAGGAGAAGGGTTGGGGTGGGCAGGGCGGTCCTCTGGCCCCCTTGGAGCACCTGGGAGGACCTTTAGGCCGCTTCCCCCACCGCAGGAGCGCTGGGGGTGGAGAGGGCTGGCCCAAAGGAACCAGCCTTAACCCACAGCACCCAGACTCCCCACTGCTTTCCTCAGCTCAATAGGTTTCCCATGCCCCTCCCTGCAAGGAACCACAGGCCAAGGCGGGCATGGGCTCCAGTCTCCGCAGAGGTGTCCAGAGGTCTTCACTTCTTTCTCGATGCTGGAAGTTGACAGTGGTCGTGGCCTCACTTGCCTGAGTCCCACCCCTCCCTGGCCCATTACTCAGAGCCAAGCAGGCTCCAGGCCAGGGGAGCCAGTCCGGGGCCACACTTCCTCCCTATTCAAATCCACACTGGCTTTGGCTTTCCTGGCTTTCTCAGCCGGCATTGGGGTTATGTGAAAGCACAGACTCCCAGGGTCATTTCACAGATGTAGAAACCGAGGCCCAGACAGTGACGTGGCCAAGACCACAAGACCTCCCAGCAGAGAGCCCAATTCCATGTGGTCTCCTACAGCCGTGGAAAGGGGCTGGCGTGGGGAGGGCCCTGGCAGAGTGGCCAGGGTCAACGCCAGCGTCTCCCTGTCCTCCTCTTTCTTCGTCCACAGGAGGTCAGCGCCCAGGTACCAGAGTCCGGGAGGCCGCAGTACCTGGAGCTGCGTCCCGCCGCGGCCGGAGGGGGCACTCCCGGCCACCAGCTTCCAGCGCCGAAATCTTCCCAAGGCCTGGGCACCACCGGCTCCTGGAGCTGGGCCTGGCCCTCTAACCACACGGGGGCTCTGTCCCGGGCGGGGGCGGCTGGGACGTTGCCCGCGCAGCGCGCCAAGAGAAAGCCGTCTATCAAAGCGGCCCGCTCCAAAAAGATCTTCGGCTGGGGGGATTTCTACTTTCGGGTGCACACCCTCAAGTTCTCGCTGCTGGTGACGGGCAAGATCGTGGATCACGTGAACGGTACCTTCAGCGTGTACTTCCGCCACAACTCGTCCAGTCTGGGTAATCTCAGCGTCAGTATAGTGCCGCCCTCTAAGCGTGTGGAGTTCGGGGGCGTCTGGCTGCCGGGGCCCGCGCCCCACCCTCTGCAGTCTACGCTGGCTCTGGAAGGAGTGCTCCCTGGGCTGGCGCCCCCGCTGGGGATTGCGGCCTCGGGTCCAGGGCTAGGGGGCACCCTCGGGGGCTCGCTGGCAGGCCCATTCGGGGGCGCGCTGGGAGTGCCCGGGGCCAAAGAGTCGCGCGCTTTCAATTGCCATGTGGAGTATGAGAAGACAAACCGCGCGCGCAAGCACCGCCCGTGCCTATACGACCCGTCGCAGGTGTGCTTCACGGAGCACACGCAGAGCCAGGCCGCCTGGCTCTGTGCCAAGCCCTTCAAAGTCATTTGCATTTTCGTCTCCTTCCTCAGCTTTGATTACAAACTGGTGCAGAAGGTGTGCCCAGACTATAACTTTCAGAGCGAGCACCCCTACTTTGGATAGTGCGCCCCGCCCTCTCCCGGGCCCAGAGCTTCCCACCAAATCCCGGCCTTCCCAAGTACTCCTTCCCGTGCCCCGTAGCTCCTGCGGCCGCGTCCACCCCTCTGGAGGTGGAGACCAACTCTCTCGGGGACCATCAGCCATCAGCCAGCGTGGTTCCCTCTTCCTTATGGCGAGTGCCCCCGAAGAGGCTGGGGATAGCCCTGTCCGCTACATGCCAAAGTGGAGAGGCAAGAGCACAGCCCTAGAATAGGCGGAGCTTAGAGGCTGTCCCAGCGTGCCCTACGTCCCCACCGAGTCCCTTTTACTCCCTGGCGCTGGGCTGGACATTCCCTTTGCCGCAGCTGTAAACTGACCTGGCTTTTCATCCCACCCCTACTTTCTTACCCCCAGGCGCTTGCCCTCCTGCTCCACGCAGTCTCCAGGTATATAAACCACGGCCTATCCCTAACCTTTCTGCCTGCGGTATGCCTGTCTCCCTTTCCCCAATCCCCAATTGGGGTAGCGGAAGCAGAACACCTGGGCGTAGGCGATCGCCTCCGGCCCCTGCCTCTACCCGCCTCCCTCCTGTCCCTACAGTCCTGTTGCGCCTGCCCCTTTCTTGCATCCTCTCGGTGATATTTTTTCTACGCCAAAACAGACGCAAAAGGAAACAAAATAAAGTGAAATCCAATACGCGTCTGTGTGAGACTCTTGTAAGGAAGGGGGCGGGTGCTGAGGGTTTATGTCTAGTAAGGGCCTGGCTAGGGCTTCCTCCCTCGGCGGCTCATGGAAACCGAGGCAAGTATTGGAGCTAGCCTCTGGGAAGTCATCCAAAACCAGGTCAGACGAAGGTGAGGGCGATTCTTGCGGTAGGGGTCCTGGCAAAGGTGGACATTTTCCTCCCAGAGGTGGGCGGGGTGCAGCTGCCCCAGCGGGATGCGATAAGAGGGGCTGCCAGCGGACTATTTGGACGCTTTTGGGGGGGAGGTATAAGGGTTTGAATGGGATGGAGATTCAGGGACAGCGTGGGCAGAGCGCTGACAACCTGCTAAGCTCCGAGGGGCTGGAGGGAGGAGGCAGGTGGGGGGGATGGGGAATGGTATTTGCGGCATCTGGAGTCATCGATCTTCCTTTTCCTTCCTAATTTCGTGGGCGCTGAGTTTGCAGACGGATGAGGGAAGTCGGGAGAAAGGGAGAGAGGCCTGAGACGAGGGGGTGGGGGGAGAAGCGCGACTTTGGAGAGCGGGGCCGCGTCGGTGCTGCCTGCCGCCACCAAACAGGGTCCTCTTCAGCCAGCTGCCCACCCCCGCTTTCAGCGCCTTCCTGTAGCTGCGGCTGCTAATTTTATCCGCCCCCAACCCTGGCCCTGGCGTTAATTGGCTGCGGCTTCATTAGCACTTCTCAAGCCCAGCCGCCCCCTCCCTTGAGGACCGCTGACTGGGACTAGGGAGGGGGTACGGACAAGCTAAGACACAAGACAACGCCTTGTTTCAGCTTTCCTGAGTCAAGGTACCAACTTGGAGAGGGCCATGTTCTCCAGGGGATGGCCTGCTGGCTCTAGGAAGAAACTGTGCCTGACGTGAATCTGACCCAAACATACCTGGGAGTGAAAAGTTGGTTAGGGTAAAATAAATATCTGATGGATGGATGGATAGCTGGATGGATGAAAAACAGGATCACTTAAAAGGAAGAGGGAGTTGGAAAGTGGTTCTGGGTCAGAGACTGGAGCCAACTCCCAACATGGGGCCTATTGCTGGGAAGACCTGAGAACACTGGAGGGAAGGAAGTTAGAGCTAAGAGAGGACTTCTGAGCCCAGTATGAGAGCCAGGTGGGAATGACTGGAATTAGCAAATTCGCCCACCTAGGCCTCAGTTTCCTCACTTGTAAGGCAATAATAAAATAATCTCCGTGTCCTGGAGATTAAATGAGACTTTGCATGTAAACATGTTTGGAGTCGGACTGTCCTCTCACCTCTTCATCTGACTCGCAGACCTGCCTCCCCCACAGCTATCCTCTCCAACTGCCCTCCCCGTCATTGGACATCTGGCAGCTCAGTGAGTTGCCCTTGCCTGTAATTGCACTGTTTGTTATCTTTTCCCTTCTTGATGTCCCAGCAGTCAGTGATCTGTTCTTATACCTCCAGGTCTATGGCATGCCTGGCACGGAGTAGGAGCTCAATATGTTTGTTGATTGAAAGAATGAATGTGTAATATTGCTATGTAAGACAGTGGTTCTCAAAATCGCTGCCTAGTGTAATCACTGAGGAGAGGTTTTGCTGTGTGTCACCATGAGTGGGCAAAGGCCCACTCTTTAAGACCCAGTGAATTAGAACCTCTGGTGAGAGGCCCCACACTCATATATTTATATTATATTTCTCAGCCAATTCTGATGCCGAGGTTTGGGAACCTCCTCCTGGGGGCGTCAGTGAGTTCCCTCCCCCAAAGGACAAGTCCAGATGGAAGTGTGGTTAAAAGGAAGATCCCTTCCAGTTTCAAGAATCTATAGTGCAAGGATATAAAGAGAGCTCACTCCTAGGGCAGCAAAAAGTAAACAGGTGGTAAGATTCAACATGTGTAACAACAGGAGGGGGCACCTCAGCTCCTGGATGTCTGGGGAGTAGGAGGAGATGGCCATGGAGAAGGCAGGTGTGTGAGACAGAAGAGAAGGATGGATACCAGGGGTTTGCATATTTAATCCCATCCCATGTCATTACTGATTGGGGCCCAAATAGACAAATTTGCTACTGGATAATACCAGGGGTTTACATATTTAATTCCATCCCATGTTATTACTGATTGGGGCCCAAATAGACAAATTTGCTACTTAGTCCCAAAGCTGGAACTTGAACTCAGGTCTCTCACCTTTCCAAACCAAAGTGCTTTCCAGTGCACCATGCTCTGTAGCTGTACAACCTAGAGTCTTCATATTTCCTAGAGAGCCTAATAACCCTGGATTATTCAGAAGGCACCCAATAAATGGTCGTTGTCTGGACGACAGGAGGAATAAAACCCTAAAGAGCTTCAGGACAGTGAGGAGATGGGACGGCACTGGATCTCTTTTCTTTCAGACAGTAGCCTCTGACCCTGCGGCTAAAGACTGAAAAGGGAAAGGGAAAAGGGGAAGGAAAAAACTACAATTCCCAAAAGACCATGAAGGGCTTCCGCACCGCCGTTTTTCCCCCCCCGCCCTCCCATGCGCATGCGTAGGTCCCTCCCCTGTATCCTATAGTTTCCCGGCCGCTCTTCTCGCGCATGCGCTGTCAGATCAGTCGTTTTCAGTCCCCTTCCTTAACCCGGCCAGAGTTGGTGGCTGGAGACCTCCTGAGACTTGGGGTGGCGATGCTGCACTTCTCTTTGCTCTGGGCGACTCGGGTAAGAATGGGGCTCAGGAGACTGGGTGACCAGTAGAAAGCAAACTCTCCTTCCACCCTAGTTCCCATTCATAAACTGTGGGGTTCTGGCTTCCCCACGCACGTGGTCTGGGTTCTCCGGGCGCAAAAGCGCACCTAGGGAATCCCGGAGACCCCCGGCTGCGCGCGGGGTAACTAGGGTCCCTTCTCATTCCGGCAGCCAGACGCCCCAGGGCCTATGACCAACCACTTCACGTGGCATTAAGGGAGAGGAATCGCGTCGGATGCCCTGTGGACCCTGTGCTGGCGAACGAGCGAGTTCCCGGCCTGGACCGCGGAGCTGAGTCTTTCCACAGCTCTGAGCGGTGCAGATGATGCAACCCTTCTCCGCCGCTTGCATCAGGGGTCCCGCGGCTTTGTGGGCTGGAAGCGGGTGGAAAGAGAGGGCGGGGCAGAGGACCGGATGTGGGTTTTGGCTTCCCTGCCAGCAGACCCCCACCCATTACACCTCTTCCTTAAGATCCTCCCACCTCCATTGCTCTGGAACCATCTCAACAACCTGTTGCCTTAACCCTTGCCTACTCAGCCTCTTTCCCTAACTCGGGTATGAGTTTGTGGAGGCCCTGCAGAAAGACCCTTTTGTTGCTGTGGGTCTGCTCCTGAGTTCCAGAGACAGGCTTCCAGAGGACAGACTTTGCCCTGTGGCTTTGTAGAGTGGTTCATGGGTCGAGGTGGAGGGAAATTCAGAGTTGAGGTGAATGGACCGAATCAGAACCACCCCCTGGACATTGATCTCAACCTTGGCTCTGTAACTGGCTTTTTGAAGGTGGCTGTGGGGGTGGTTAGTACTAGAACAGCCAGGCTGGACAACTGGCTGCTGGGTTTGGACCCAGAGGGAGCAAAACACATGGCTGAGGGTTGTTGGGAGACTATTTGTCTGGATGCTTTTCATTTGATTCTGGCTTTTCCTCCCTTAGCCTCTGCAGAGATGTGGTCAGCTGGTCAGGATGGCCATACGGTGCCAGCACAGTGAGGCAGCCCAGACCCAGACTGGAGAAACAACCAGGGGCTGGACAGGCCAGGAGAGGCTGTCAGACAGTGATCCTGAGCTGTGGGAGCTGCTGCAGAAAGAGAAGGACAGGCAGTGTCGTGGCCTGGAGCTCATTGCTTCCGAGGTGGGGCCTGGGAAGAGGGGCCAGGGCTTGGGCCACCATGGGTGCAGGAAATAACAGGTCATCTTGCTCCTGTTTCTCCAGATCTCTTTCAGACTCAGGGCCTTCCTGCTGGGCCTTATCTCCCTGACTTCTTACTGTCCTCTGAAAGCAAGGCAGGGCCAGTCTGGGTTATGGGATAGGGGCATTAAAGAGCTTCCAGAGCCTTCTACGGCCCCTATAGTTTAGTCTAGTCCCTCCTCCCATCCCAGGAGGAAAGAGGAACCCAAGTTTGAGTGGACAGGTGGCCTTGCTGGGGACACCTATTACAGCAGCTGTAGTAGGTTTCTGAGGATCTTGCCTCAGGCTTGAAGCCCAGCTCCTCTCTGCAGCCTAGGTTTCTGCAGGATGGGGCTGTGGGGGTCCAGAGAGAGGGGCTCAATACCTTTTGACATCACCCTCCACTCCCACTCCAGAATTTCTGCAGCCGAGCTGCGCTGGAAGCTCTGGGGTCCTGTCTGAACAACAAATACTCGGAGGGTTATCCTGGCAAGAGGTGAGGGCCAGAGGGCAAGCTCAGGGATGGGACTCCCAGTGTGTGTAGAGGAATGGCCTTCCCTGTCCTTTGTTGCTGATCATGGGGATGGTGGAAGCCTTTCTCTGTGCCCTGATGTACCCCCTCCCGTGGCAGATATTACGGGGGAGCAGAGGTAGTGGATGAAATTGAGCTGCTGTGTCAGCGCCGGGCCCTGGAGGCCTTTGATCTGGATCCTGCACAGTGGGGAGTCAATGTCCAGCCCTACTCAGGGTCCCCAGCCAATCTGGCCGCCTACACAGCCCTCCTGCAGCCTCACGAACGAATCATGGGGCTGGACCTGCCAGATGGGGGCCAGTGAGTATGGATGGAGTGGGTGAATGGCATGGCGGGCAGTATGGGCATGAGAAGGAGTTACTTACTGAACACCTGCAGGTGGAACAGGCCCCTCCCTGTCCTGCAAGTGACAGTGGATGAGGAAGATAATGCTACAGGAACCAGGGCCCACCAAAGGTGGACAGGGCAGTGAGGGTGGAGCATGCTGGCAGCAGTGTTCTGGGGACAGAGGCTTTTGAAGCAGGGCGGGAAGGGAGTGGTTGCATTTGGGCATTATTTTACTCTGAAGCCTTCTACTTCTCCCCTCCCAGTCTTACCCATGGGTATATGTCTGATGTCAAGCGGATCTCAGCGACATCCATCTTCTTCGAGTCTATGCCTTATAAGCTGAATGTGAGTGCTCTAGGGTACAGGGAGCTTGCTGTTCAGGCCTGAGCCTGGTGCCATCTCCTGGGGAGGGTGAGGGGCTGAAGCCCTCGAGCAGGGAGGAGCCCTGCTTCCTTCTCAGGTCTTCAGCTCTTTGTCTGTCGTTCCAGCCCCAAACTGGCCTCATCGACTATGAGCAGCTGGCACTCACTGCTCGGCTTTTCCGGCCTCGGCTCATTATAGCTGGCACCAGTGCCTATGCTCGCCTCATTGACTATGCCCGCATGAGAGAGGTTGGTGAGGACTGGAGTACTGCCATTCCCCAAGAGGTGGTGGGGAGATTTCGGGTGGTGGCCCTGTCTGGGCCCTACCCAGGCTGAGGCCTATCTCTGTACCTGCCAGGTGTGTGATGAAGTCAAGGCACACCTGCTGGCAGACATGGCCCACATCAGTGGCCTGGTGGCTGCCAAGGTGATCCCCTCACCTTTCCAGCATGCAGATGTTGTTACCACCACCACTCACAAGACCCTTCGAGGGGCCAGGTCAGGCTCTCCTGAGGTCAGGTCTTGCCTTTTCCTGCCTTCACGCTGTGTTCCTGGGGCATCTTTGGGCTGGATGTGAAAGAAATTCATTCCCAACTGAAGCCCTGAAGACTTCTACCCAGTCTGTGATGATTCTCCTCTTGCTCATGTGGCAATTCCTGGCAGGGGATTTGGAGGTGGGAGTGAGGGGCTGCTTCCCTTGATCACGGGAGCCCAGCATACTGAGCACATCTGAGGTGGAGCCTTTAGGGTGCCTAGGCCAGCCAACTTCCTCTGTTTCCCCCATCCCTTGCCCTTTTCTTTCAGTTTAGATTCTGACCACCCACTTCCCACACAGGTCAGGACTCATCTTCTACCGGAAGGGGGTTCGGACTGTGGACCCCAAGACTGGCCAGGAGATCCCCTACACGTTTGAAGACCGAATCAACTTTGCTGTGTTCCCATCCCTGCAGGGGGGCCCCCACAACCATGCCATTGCCGCAGTAGCTGTGGCCCTCAAGCAGGTTGGGAACCCTGTTCTTGGGTGGGTGGGAGGCACTGACCTGGAGGCTTGGACCCTGTACTTGCCTAGGATATGGTGGAAGGGAAGTGCCAGGATATGAGGGGTCAAAGCTTGGGTCACAAGTATATTGGGAGTTGGGGAGCAGAAGGGGGAGAGCTTGTAGTCACAGGAGCTGCTGTCTCATCTCCAGGCCTGTAGCCCCATGTTCCGGGAATACTCCCTGCAGGTTCTGAAGAATGCTCGAGCCATGGCTGATGCCCTGCTGGAGCGGGGCTACTCGCTGGTGTCTGGTGAGCCAAGGGGTTGGTGAGAGCCTCTGTGGTCTCAGGCACAGGTCTAGCGCTCACCTCTCCCTGCTCACTGTCCCCACTTAGGTGGCACTGACAACCACCTAGTGCTAGTGGACCTGCGGCCCAAGGGCCTGGATGGAGCTCGGGCTGAGCGGGTGCTGGAGCTTGTATCTATCACAGCCAATAAGAACACTTGTCCTGGAGACCGAAGCGCCATCACACCTGGGGGCCTAAGGCTTGGTGAGACCTAGGGTTTGAGGAAGGAAGGGTGGCTGCCAGGTGGACCTGGTCTGTGCTAATCATCTGCCTCTCTTCCAGGGGCCCCAGCCTTGACCTCTCGGCAGTTCCGAGAGGTTGACTTCCGGAGAGTTGTGGACTTTATAGATGAGGGTGTTAACATTGGCTTGGAGGTGAAGAGTAAGACTGGTGAGTGGATGAGACACCACCCCAGCCAGCCAGTTTATGTTCACTATCTGCCCCCTCCCCCAGCTGAACTGCCTGCCTCCCCTAGAGCTTGGACCACTTGTTTCCTCATCCTTCTCTAGCCAAACTCCAGGATTTCAAGTCCTTCCTGCTCAAAGACCCAGAAATAAGACATCGTCTGGCTGACCTCAGACAACGTGTGGAGCAGTTTGCCAGGGCTTTCCCAATGCCTGGTTTTCATGAGCGCTGAGGGCACCTAGGAAACGATGCCCACAGATGGAAATTTATCCTCCTCCCCACTACCTGGACCAGTGGAGGGAGCACCTATCTTCCAAATTTTTGCTGGAGGAGGGAGAGCCTCCCACTTAGGGGAGGAGCCAGGTAGTTTCCATTTCCAGAATTTGTAGCTGAGATTTCTTGTAACAAGACTTCAGCAGAGGAGGTCTGGGGCTTTCTGCCCTAACCTTCCATTATTTCAATGTTACAGACTCCCTACTCTTTCCCTGGGAGACAGGAGTTACCTTTGTGAGCCAGAAGAAGGGATGGGTAGGCACCCTCCTTTCTGTTTTTATCTAATAAAATACTAACCTGTCCTGAGCTTCTGTTACTGTGGGAGGGGTTCCCCAGTCCAGGTGGTGACTTGTCTCCCTCAGTGTGTTCCTTCCCCTTCCCTCCCACCACCACCACAGGGACCCCTGGGGGCTGCAGCCTCCTCTCTCTCTGATCAGAGCCGACACCAGATGTGATTAGCAGGCGCAGCAAATTCAATTTGTTAAATGAAATTGTATTTTGCCCACGGCTGCTTCTGTTTGATCCCAGGGGGGTGAGGGGGTGTAATGCAGGGGAGCAAGGGAGGGGTGAGAAGGGCAAGGGGAGGCCCAGGTGTGAGTTGTGGGGGTAGGGGTGCCTGTTGGAGCAGGAGGCAGTGGCCTGCACCCCCTCCCTGGGTATCGGGTGCCTCTTCCAGGGCAGGCTGGGCAGTCGATAAAGAGCCCAATTGAGCCAGAGCAGCGCCGCCCCTGGGCTGGACTGGAGCCTGGGCCAATGTGGGATCTGCCACGTCACTTGGCACTCAGAGGCCTGCTTGCTCTTAGCTCACGTAGCCCACGCTCTACATGTAGCCTGTGCCACACCCTGCAAGGCCTGGGGGTGGGTGAGTAGGGAGCTGGCTTGGACTTTTGGGTCAGCAGGGCTGCTGCCTGCCTAACACTTCCTCCCCCTGCGTGGGACTCAAACTGAGGGTCATAGGCACTTCCTGCTGGGAGCAAGGGAAAAGGGTGGGGATGGAGCTCCTCCCCCCTCGTGGGAACCGGGCCTGTGTAAGCAGGAGCTGGACAGGGTGGCTAGAGTGGCGCCCTAGGGGCTGGGGGTAGAGAGTGGAAGAAATGAGTAGGCTGGCTGACGGGTGGCTTACATGGAAGGGGCACCCCAGCCAGGTTTAGAAGTCTGGCCGATCCTTCTTCAGCTTCTTATAGTCCGTGGAAACTGCAAGGAACTATGGGAGGGAAAGGGGATTACACTAAATGCCCCAGGCCTCCCTTTTTGAGGAGGTGGGTAGTTGGGGAGGGTTTGGGTCCTGGGACCAAGAGATGTGCAGATGGAGGTGCAACCCTGGAGCCATCAGGAGGTACCTTGTATTGGTCATTGGGGCTCAGGCGGTTCCAGGGCTCTGGGTTGTTCTTTCGGTCCCAACTAAGGAGAGAGTGGGAGGTGGTTAGAGTTCCCTCTCTGGGAGCTAGGACTCCGGGGCCTGAGGGTCTCTGCCCCTATCCCAGCACCCTCTATACCAGGGGAGGAGCCCATTTCCAGAGACTGACGGCATGGGGCATGGTAGTGGGTGCTGACAAGTGAGACAAGAAGGCTGTCACCATCGTCAGCTTGGGGCCAGGTGACAGACAGCCTGGCCCAGGGACTCCCGCCTGCTTCACCACCCTAGGTGAACCCTGCAGAGCAGAGCGGCGGGAAGCAGGCAGAGATCCTGAGGGGCTGGGGTTTCTGTGATGTGCATTCAATTCCGATAACACTGCGAGCGCCGGCAAAGCTTGCAGGAAAGCCACCGGCCCCATCGCCACCGCACTCGCTCAGGTCTGTCAGGGCTTGGAGTCTACGTGCCATCCCTGACCCAAGGGTACCCTTCCTCCCCGCAGCTCCCTGGTCACAGCCCAGCGCTCAGGATCCGGGATAGAGGTACCCGAAGAGGTACCCGAAGGCCAGCGGCAGAGATGCGTCGCCATGGCAACCGGACCGGGAGCTGAGCAGGTTCCCAGCCCCTAGCAGGCCAAGTCTCCGGCCACCAAGGAGTAAGTGGTCGGGTGGGCAGAGAGGGGCGAGGGCCTCCCAAGTCTGGAGCGACCTCCAGCCCCAAGACGTCAGTGGTGCAGTCCCAGGGGCGCTGCCTGGCGTTCACTGCTGGCCCACGGGTTCCCACCGTTCCTGATGCGCCCTGTGTTCCTACCCCATCTTGCCTCACCCAGGACCCCTGACTGTCCCAGTCCCAGCCTTTACCAGACGTCGGGGCTGCGCAGAGCGAGTCGCAGCAAGTAGAGCGCCGCGCTGCCCATGCCCAGGCCGATGAAGCCGATCATAGGGATGAGCTGCAGGGAAGACGTAGGGCACTTTAAGGGTCAGCCCCATCCCCGCTGCCCCACTCGCCCTCCACAAGCGTTTCTGCCCGGTGGCACCCGCACATCCCCGCGGTGTCTGGCCCTCCCTCTGGGACAGCGGACCTGGACCTCCCCCACCGAAGTTCCTGCGGCAGGCCCCCTCACTCCACAGCGCGCCTGTGCGAGGTGGATTCTGGGGCACGGGGGCATATTGCATGTATAGATCGATGGCCCCGTGGCCCCGTGGAGAAAGATGAGGAGCCCTGAGGAAAGTAGGCAAGAGGCGGGATATTTGGAAATTGGGGCCTCTGGGTCAGCGACAGGTTTAAGGGTTAGTATAGGTGGCACTGGCACAGAACTCACAGCGGGATGTCTCCTGATCTGCCGGTAAAAGCGGGCCCAGAGACTAGTTCCTGCCATCGCCTCTGCGTGTCTGCTCCTTTCCAGCGGCTTTGCTCCCTGCTCGTCCGGGGGCCCGCCCCTAACTGGGGAGGGGTCAGCCCAGCCCAGCCTGCCCAGCTCGCTGGATTTGTCAGACTCACCCCCCACCCACCTCTCTTGCTCCCGCAGTTCCAGGCTCCGAGCCTGGAGAAGAATTGTTGGTGAGCGGAGGGATTTCTGCTCCTCCACTCTCTCCTCCAAATGACCACACCCTGGCCCACAGGTCACCATCATACTCTAGGTTCTTGGTTGGTCCTAGGGAGAAGCCTCACAGGCTTTGACCCAGAGACTGATTGATGGGGGGATCCAGAAGTGGGAGAGAGACTCACCCTGGGACAGGCAGGCAGACTTCCAGCAAAGTGCAGGTGTGGAATGTCTACAGGAGGGACCAGGGACGAGTTAGGACATCTGCAGCACTTCCCTGACATCCCTAGAGCCATCCAGGAGCTAGCAGGTCCTCGAGGCCCTGGATCTGTCTCCCTCCACGGTGTAGTGGGAGGAGGAGGAGGGGGACAGACAGACCAACAGCACTCAAGCAGCCCCAGCCCCTTTAATCCTCAGGGGCTCTCCACGTTGTGTTGTGGTTGGCCTGGAATTGTGCTGGGAGACCAGGGCAGCCAGGAGTATCTCCAACCCGACTCAGGATGGAACAACTCAGTTGGTGAAGTCTGGGGGGCTTGAGAAACTAGCTTGCTCTGCCTACTTCAGTTAGGGGTGTGGCCAGAGCCACCCAAGGAGGCCACTGTCTGCCTCTGGCTGTGATAGGAAGAGAATGAAGTGAGGGAAATAGAGAAGGTAGAAAAGATGGTGAATGAAGAAAGAGAACAAGATAAAAAGAGGCCGAAATGCAAAGCGATTCCCTCCCTTAACGCAGCCAACTCAGTTGTATGCCATGCTGTCAATATAAGAAGGATCGCTGTCACCGTCTTTGGGAAATTGGGGTCCTAGGGACCCAGGAACCCAGTCCTAACTACCTCTCCCCACTGCCATGCTAACCTCCACTATCCCGACTCAGCAGCCGGAGCCCTACGGAGCCCCCCCACTTCTCCCCTCTAGAGTCCTGTGGCTGCACGGATAGGGGCGAGCTGCGCACCCTCCTCTGGGCCCTCGGGGTACACGAAGGGAGGGGCCCTTCCTGGGAGCTCCTCTCCCTTCCCCGCGCTGACACCTCCCCCACTCCTGCGCCAAGAGCGGCTGTAATTAGGCTGCGGGGTCCCGGGCTATCCTCCTCCCTCTGCGGATAATGAGATAACGTGTCAGAGACGCGGCGAGAACAAAGAGACAGAGACTCGCGGCACTGTGGTGTTGGGGGAGGGGGACAGACGGGTGTCAGAACCTGGAGCGGCGCAGAGCCGGCCTTCCAGGAGCCCCGCACCTCCAGGGTGGGGCCAGCGAGTGGGGGGAGCCCTGTCCCCTATGCCCGCAGCCCTCCAGTCTCTGGGACTGAAAGGCAGTCCTGGAGCTTGCGCTCGAGAAGCTGCACAGCTGGGCTGCACATCTGGCCGTGTGACACAGCTGGGGCGCCATGATGCCGGAAGGGATATCCTACCCCTGCGTCGCGTCCCTTTGCTTCTCAGTCCCTGCCCGCCATCCGGTGCCGTTTCTTGCGAGTTCTGGTGACCCGGGCCTAGCGCGTTCTGTACATGCCCTCTCCCCTCTTCCCAGAGCCGCCGCGGGTGCCCGGCCCCGGGCCTCCGCCCCGCTCTCAGAGCTTCTTATTACAACATTACTTCTGCTCCGGCCTCGCCGGCGCTCCTTGGCCTTTCACCTGCTTTCTCTCAGCCCTTGCCTGTGACCCTGTTTCTAAGGCCCCTCCCATCTCCCGATCGTGGTCTTCGGGACAGAGCTGCGACACAGAACTTGGGTTCCAGGTTCCATCTCTCCCCACCTTCCCGCGCTTTCCCACCGGAGGGAGTCAGGTCGCGCTGACCCACCCGGTGAGGGACGGCCGAAGTCCTTAGTTGAGGATTAGGCGTGGCCTGCGGCGGTCAGGAGCCCGCCAGGGTCGTACTCTGCAAGCCAAATCGCACCAGGACACTAATCCGCGCGCTGGCGGGGTCTCTAGTCACCAAGCAGTCAGACTCCGCGGAGCTAGGCTGCTGCCGGGGCCGTGGTTGCGGGCGCCCCCTGGAGGCCGAGCTGCACCCAAGCGCTCGGGGGCGATACCTCGGCGCCCCCTGTCGGGCCACGCTGGCCCTGCGCCCCGCGGCTTTTGGGCAGGTAAGTCAGGGCCTGTTGACCGACGCCCCGCCCGCCGCTCCTGCCAGTGCCGCCGCGGAGACCGGGCGTCCCGCAGCCTCACTCTTCTAGTGCGAGGTGGGGCTGTTGGGGAGGGGACGCGGAAGCTCCCACTTCGCTTGCCACGGGCTGGTCGACCCCAGACGCCCGGGGCTCAGTCTCTGCTTTGGGACTGCCCTCTGCCCCTGCCCTCTCTAGTCTCTGGCTACCTTTCTTTCTCTTTCTTCTTCAGGCCCTGTCTGTGCCTCTGTATGTGTGTGTATCTGTTTCTTATCATTCTGGCTGTGTCTGCTCTCCCTCTGCAGCTCTCCACCCGGCTTTGTCCCTTTGCATCTGTTTCTCTGTGTCTCTCTTGTATCTGTCTCTCCTTACCTCTACATCTCTCTACCTCTCTGTGTCTCTCTTTACAAATCACTGTGTCTCTCAGTTCCTGTCTTTATCTCTGTGTCCCCTCTTTCCATTCCCTAGTTCTATTCCTATTCTCTGGCTTGCGGCCTCTGGGGGCTGCAGTAAGTCCATTGGGACAGCCTGGGGAAACCTCGGGGCACTGCCCAGGGTCCTCTTCCCGGTCACCTACACATGCCGTCACCTTGGCGCGGCCTCCTTCTTCCCTGTGTAGCCGTGAGGTGTGGAGGGGGGGCCCGGAAGGGAGGACACAGTGCCCAGCATCTGCTCAGGAGCCCCGGGGCCCCTGACCCCCTCTACCGCTATTAAGGGCGCCGGTCTCGAGGCTTTGAGATGATCATGATTGCATCAGTCAGACAGCCGCGGCGCCGGAGCCGCGCGGCACGCGAGAGAGCGAGACAAAGACGCCCGCACCATCTGTTTATGCAAAGTGCTCTCCGCCGGGGACCCTGGCGTCCCGGAGCTTGACCCGGCTCAGGGCACAGGGTCATGAGTCCGCTCCTGCCCGGAGCCTCAGCCGCGCCTCGGCTCCCCCCCCTCCCCAGCACCCAGAGGGGCTGCGGCGCGAGCAGCACGGAGGGAGGCGGGGGGTGTTGATGTGATTGGAGCGGACGCGGCTGTTTCTTCAATAATGGATGGAGATGATGCGGATGGCGGAGCCAAGCCCGCCTGGAGAGGAGAGGAATAGAAATAGGGAGAGGAAGGGGCGGGGGCGGGAGACTCACCCAGGCGCGCGCCCGCGCACACACACTCACACACCTGAGCGCGCGTGCGTCACGCTGTCATTCGAATACACGCCGCCTCGCGGCTCACACCCAGGCACACGCCCACGCACTGTCACCCAGACACACACACCTGCAGGCGGAGATGCCAGAGCAGCATACGTTTACCAGCGGGCTCTTTCTGAGTCTCACATACATAGTCCTGCAGGCAGAGACACACAGAAATGCCCACACACGAGGTACACCTAGGCGTGAAGGCAGACACATAAACACGCCTAGCACATATGCACACCTAGACACTCAAGGGTTCAGACAAAAATTTAGAGGTTGGGGGAGGGTAGAACGGGTACGATACTGACAGATACGCAGGGCACAGACACACATACACCCACACACTACACCTGGAGCTCTGATACACCTCACATGCTTGGGGGCAACCACACACATATACTACACGGCAGGGGCAAAGGCACCCATAATGGCCAGGGGCACAGAGAGACCCCCATCCCCCCCACATCAGTTTCACCCCCGCTCCTATGCAGGAGCTTCTGCCTTTGCCCTGCGGCGGTGGAGTGTGGCTGAGAGGTCGCTGGGGTGCCCCAAGCAGGCCTTGTTAGCCTAGCCAAATAATGAGGTACTGGTGATAGGAGTCGCCTGGGGCTGCGGACACTGCGCCCTTCCCTTGACTGCCTGCAAGCTTCCCTCTTTGGGCCACAGCATGCGGATCTTGAGCCACTCTGGCTCCAACCCAGTTGGAAGGGGGCATAGAGGGATATTGGCGACTGCATAGAGATTGCCAAGATCGCCAACACAGCCACGAGGCAAGGGTCACTCTATCCTCTCTTATCTCCCGTGCTGCCCTACCTTTCTACTACAAGGGGCACTTTCTTTGCTAAGAGTAAAGTGGGAACTGAGGCGGGGTAGGATATCGGTTGTGTCCAAAGCCTAGTAACCCCGCCCCTCCTCCAGTCTGTTTTCAATTCAGTCCGCTCCTTGGCCCAGACTTATGACCTTTGCTGCGTGCGGCAGCATCATCCATCAGCCAGGCTGCTGCTTGCTAGAGTGGGAGCGTTGAGGGCTCACGTAGGGTCGCTGTCACTCCCGCCTCCTCCTGAGACCTTTCTGCCAGCCCACCAGGGCTCAACCCGCGGGCAAGGGCTGGGCGGAGGGCGTGACCATGGGGCTCATAGGCAATACTGGGCCTTGTGTCCCCTCTCCCGGCACCCCAGCGCCCGTGCTTCGAGCTCGGCACAGCCGGCCTCCCCGCTCCTCTCGCCCTCCTTCTCTCGGGCCCTTTGCTTAATTTCCTATTAACTGCTGATAAATCCAATTAAACCGCCGCTCTAATTAGGGACAGCTGCCAGCTCCACCAGGCGGGAGAGGGGGGTGCCCCCGAGTGCAGAGGGGGAGAACAGCCGCGCTCTCTCCTCTCGCACCCCCACACCAGCACCGCCGCCCAATGAGCCAGTAAATTGGTTTTGCTTCAGCACTGTGGGGGGCCCTCTCGAGAATCTCGGGGGGCTGTGGCCTTGAGTCCTTCAGACCGCTAGATGAAGAGCTGCGGCCCGAGCCCTAGCCTCCCCACCCCCACACTCGTGCCAGGCGGATCACGAGGGATGGGGCACAAGGCTGGATTTGTGTGGGGTGGAGGGGGACCTGGGATCTGCTCCTGTTGCAGCCCAAGGGTGATAAAAGCAGGGCTGCCGAAGTCTTCCTTTATGACCCCGCTGCCGCCCCGAGGCGTCCGAGACAGTCAAGGGCAAAGGGAACAGGAAACTGAACCCGGTTCTGCAGTCTTCTGGTGTGCTTCCCTACCCCCACTACACTTCAACCTTCTGGAAGGATGGGGGACGCGCCCGTCCCGGGCCCTCCTCTTCCCCAGCCCAGCTGAGCCTCTGCCCTCCCCCGCCAGCAGCAGATGGTGCCCGGGCTCCCGCTGCCAACCTTGCTAGGCGGTGCCAACCTCAAGCCTGGCAGACAATGGGCAGAGATCTGGTTGGCCAGGCTGACCCTCCCCCATCCATCAAGCTCAAGACCCTCCTCCTGCCCCACTTCAGGGACCACCCCAGACTGCCTCTCACTGGTCCCCAAACTCCTCGTCTCCTTCAGCTCCTTTCCCCACACCTTCCCGAGCTCAGCCACCTGCCACCCTGACCGGGGCCGGCACATTTGCATATTTGCATATGCAAACAATAACATTTGCATACGGCACGCCGCAGGGGGTCTCTGCGTGAGCCGGTTAACTGTCTGCCACGTGCCCTCTCACTCGGTACCTGTCGCAAAGGGCTGGGGCGGAGGCCGCGCGGGAAGGGTTAGGCCCCCTGGCCTCGCTAGCTGGGTTCCCGGAGGACATATGTTGCCATGGAGACGGCACGCACCCCCACCTCCCCCCTAAGGCCCAGGGTCTCTGGCTCTGTGTCTCCGGTTCTCTCCTCCACGCAACACCCCCAACCCTTCGCTCTCCAACCGAGATCTTCCATCGCCCCCTGGCGGCCTAGCTCGGCATTGAGCCAAGTTCCTAAATGTACCGGGCTGCGCGACTAAATCGCCCCCAGCTGGAGGGCCTTACCCTGTTACCCATCCTCCCAGTCACAGGGGATACGGGGACCCTAGCCCGGTTTTCTTCACTGACAGGCCTTTTTTTGGCTGGCGGTCGCACCTGTCTCCTACCTCCCTCAGCCTTAGCCAGGTGTGCCTTGTCTTACTCGATGGTGGTGAGGTGAGACAGCTGGGGAGGATACTCCACCCCCTGCGCAGGCCCTCTTCTCCCTCTTCCCACAGCCCCCAGGTAGAGAACAAACTTTCCTAACTTTTGTCAAAACTTTAATAAAATCGCATGATTCCAAAGCTCACCTCCCACATCCCCAGGGCGCCCCCTAGTGGAGTTCATTCTTTTTCCAGCTTCCACAGGCTGTGTACCCTGAGGGTCGTGGGTGACGCTGTTCTGGGCACCAGGTATCTGAGGCCCTAAGGCCGGGGTAGGGAGTCGGAACCGGTCCCTTCCCAGAAGCCTCCTCACGCTCTGGTGGGCCTTTCCACTCCTCCCTAAGCCAGCAGTACAGTTGCTTTGGCTCCCTTCCTCCCCAGCCTCCTCTGGGCCCGCCCAGAATGGGGTTTGGGTATCTCCTGCCAGCAGGCGCTTGCACGCCTAAATCTCCTCCAGGAAGTCGGTGGGGAACAGCCCCACCTTGCGGCCTGTGTAGACTTTGACGTAGCCCCCAGCTTCATCTCCTTTCTGCACCACGATCTAAAGGATTGAAGGTTTAGGGAGGAGAGGAATCAAGGAAAACGGTTAGGAGAGGAGAGCAGAGGAGTCGGAGTTACGGAGCCCCATCCTAGCCCCATTAATGGGTCAAGATCTGCAAGGAGTGTGGTTTGCAGAGGTGCCTCTGGGCCTCGGGTTAGGTTGGGGCACCAGAGCTACCTGGTCCTTCTTGAGAGTGACCTGCCCTATCTCGCGGTTCCCCACGAAGGATCTCGTTACGCGGTGCACACGCTCTCCAGACCGGACCCGAATGATGAAGTTTGGAGGAAAAAATCCGACTTTCTCTCCTATTTTCCCCTAGAGGAGATGGTAGAATCAAAATCTTAATCTTAGTTTCTAAATTCAACCCATGTCACATCCTAGCCTGGGCTGTTTCTCTTACCCGCCACCATTCCTCATTGGAGTCATCAATTACTGTGATCTTCTCTCCAGGCCTGGGAAAGAAGGGGAGACGCCTCTGAGATTTTCACTCACATATCTGGCCCTTGGCTGTGCCCAGGTCTGGCCCCCATAGGATTCAAGCCCTGAGTTCCTCTTTTCCTTTCCCATAGGGATCTGGGCTCCCCCAACTCCACTCCCAGTACATCCCACCCCAATCCTAAGGCCTCTCACGGGAAATCCAGATCGTCCTTCTCCAGGGCTTTGAACCGATAGAGAGCCACAAAGTAATGAGACTGCTGGAAGCCAGGCTGCTTGTGCTGGGGATGAAAGTGGGTGATAAGTCTCAGGGCTCCTTGGTCCCACAATTAAGGGCAGGAGTCCAAGGCACAGGCACTTTTCAGACACACTGCATTCCAGCTTTCTTCTAGGTCCATGAACTAAGAGGATGTACTGGGTGTGAGTTTGTGGTGTGCATGTGTTTGGTGGTGAAGTCAGGTTAAGGGTGATGGGAACCCACCGAGTTAAGTGTGAGCTGCTGAGACAGTAAGTGGTGTCAGACCTGGGCTGGGCGAGGACTGGGTCCCTGCAGGGAGAAAGGAGTCTCACTTTGTCATCAGGTGTCTTCTTTTCAGCCTTCTTATCCTCTTCAGGGTTTCCTGGGATGAGAAACATCGACAAATTGCCTCTGGGTCCTGGAGGGTAGCCCTCATTTTATTACTCTTCTGTTGCAGGGCCTCTTTAATCTCCAAATCTGGCATGGCCCTCCAATCCATATGCCACAGCTGAGCCCCTGACCCTACTCCATCTCTGTGGATGGAGGTGGGGGACACTCACCATTCTGGGGTTTGCCTTCCTCTGGTTTGGCAGATTCTGGCTCCTCTTCCATCATGGCAGCTAGGGGCTGAAGGGAGCACCAGAGTTAGGAAGATACTGTCCTGGGAACCCATGCTTGCCCTGGCTCTTCAGTCAGGCCAGAGAACTACAGAATAATAGGACTGCAGGGTTGGAAAGAGCCTTGGAGGAAATACCTAAGTCTAATCATCTGCCTAATGCAGAAACTTCCTCTAAAACATCCTGGCAGGTGGGCCATCCACATTGTGCTTGAATGTAGCAAATGAGAGGGAGCTCACTACCTTACAAAGTAAGCCCAAGTAATTTGGGGGCAATTCCCTATAGTAAGCCTATGTCAGTCTTCCTGTAACTCTTAGTTATTAGTCCAGATTTGCCCTGTGGAGCAACAAAGAATACAGTCTCCTTAAAGATCTGAGGACAGGTGATAAGTCGTTTTTGTCTTGTCTTTTTTAATCAGTCCCTTTAAATCACCCCCAGTGATCGTGAATCCAGGTCCTTTACTATAATGTCTGGCCTTAAAAATGGTCCAGTGTTTAAGAGAAAAAAAAACAGGCAGCTTAGTTCTTGTAATTCCCTTAAGAGAATGGGTTCTGAGTGGGCCAATCTGCCTGGGATCAGCAAACTACACTGCTAGTGCCTTATGAGTCATAGCTGAAATCTCTAATTTGCACCCAACCTCTATTATATCAACTGCTTGGAGGCCAGGTCTCTAGTTGTTTTTGTGCAGTTGATTTTTTTTTTTAAATCCAAGAATAGACCTATACATTTTTCTTTACAAAATTTCTAATTATTAGTTTGGGCCTTTCTTCTAGTCTGTAAGGCTTCTGAATATATTATTCAGTGTGTAAGTTTTCCCTCCTATGTTTCCCACAAACTTAATGGGTATACCATTTTTATCTTCATTTGCATCAGTGAGAAGAATGTCCACAGATAAGGACCAAGGACCAAATCATCTTAGAAAGGTATCAGAAATCTCCCTCTAACTGCACACACCCTAAAGGATTGGGATCTTTGGGGTACTCATGCAGCCAATTTTAGGAATCCACCTAACTGTAACCACTATCCACATTAGTCCATCCTACTTGTCCAGAAAGATATAAGGTCATGCTAACTAATTCCTTGTTCAACTGAATGCCAAGTCTATAGCACTACCAATCTGGTAACCCTATTATGAAAGGAAATGAAGCTGCTCTTGGTCACTAGCTTTGTGCCTGTCTCCTCATCTACAGGATAAATGGGTCAGGTCAGATGATCTTCATGGACCCTTGCACAGCTCTCAAATTCTCTGATTACTTGGCATGACAACTAATCCCAATCCAAAAGCCTAGCTCTTGCTTTTCCCAGCAATGCCAGCAGCCTAGCCTTCAGCTGGTTATGGTGGTTAATCTGGCAGTTTCAGAAGGGAGTTCTGAAGGAAACACACACTATGGGAGGAGTTCTTAACCTGAGGCCTATAACACTGCCTGCAAAAATTTGTCTGTTGGGTTCTGTGCAGTTTTAGAGGAAGAGGATCCCTAGCTTCTGCCAGCTTTCCAGAGAGGAGGCAGGACCTGCTCCATGGGGTCTCTGGAAGGGACCTTAGTAGAAAGTGGTGCTCACATTTTTCTTATCTGCCTGTCCCTTCTTCCGTTCCTTGTTTGCCATGATCACCCCTGTGCGCAGGGTTTCAAACACAGGGTCATTGCGATTGGCAGCAGCTAGTGGGAATTGGAGAAGAAAGATTACTGGGGAGGCAGAGAAAAGCTTGGAGGAAAGAGACCTCTTAAGTAAGGGAGAGGTGGGATTGGGCAGATAGATGTGTGTGTGTGTGTGTGTGTAGGATCAGGGAACGGTCAGCTGGGCATACTAGGTCATCAATCTATAAAGACCTCTGAAAATGTTTCTAGAAATGTAATGTAAGAGAGAAAAATATTTAACAGCACTCCTTTCAGGCAGAGAATTACATGATTTTAGAATGACAACTTTGCTAATAAGTAGCTTGGGAGTTGGGGAATGCTCAGAATCTCTATTCTCCTAACAAGAGTGGTCCTCTGACTTTTGGTCCTCTGAGTGGCATGTATAAGCTGGGGTACTGCTCAGTGGGTTCTCCTTTTCCCATTCATGCTCCTCACAGAATTCTACTTCTCCTCCAATACTGAGCAAATTGTCAACAAGTATGTTTTTAAGGCTTGCCAGATTATGAGTCTGCCCAGGATGCCCATAGATCTAGATCTGGCCCTGAGTCTGCCATTATTCTCTAACAAGGATGAAGACAGTCCAGAATCCTTGTTTCTGTTTAAAAGTGGTTTTATGTATAAATAGCACAGAAGTCAGGCAGATGAAGGTTTCAGTCTTGGCTCTATCTCTTGCTACCTGTGTGGACACTTAGTTGAATCTTATCTCCTTCAGCTATGAAACGGGGGAAATTGACTCTGCACTCAAGATGGCTCAAATATTAGGTTGAGAGATAACCATGGGAAATGGCAACTTTCTGTTTCAGATTTTGGCTTCCAAATCTAGAGATGGTGCTAAAACCATCTCTAGACCTGCCCCTTCCCTCAGGTCCCATATGGAGAACTTACAGAGATCTTTGACACAAGCGTACTGCTGGTTGCTGTAGAGTGGGGAGCTGTAGGCCCGATGGAAACCCGGGGGCTTTAGGATGGGATAGGAGAAAATCATTAGAGACTGCAATGTAGAACCCCATCATACCCATGACTGCAACCCCTAAAAGAGGTGGGCTGAGAAAGAAAAGGCAAGGAGAAAGACGTGGGGAGGGACCGGCAGCATGTCCCCTCCCTCCCCCTTTTCTGTCCCTCAGAGCCTACTCACGATCTTGCCGAAGCACCTCTGCATCTCCACATAGGACTGACAGTGTTTATGGATGTTAGTTTTACAGTTCTTACAGCGAAGCCCAAACTTGTTGTTGACTTGGGAGAGGGGGAAGACATTTGGGTGAGGTTCCCGATTTCCCTTTCTCTTTGTACCAGTGCTGCTACTCTAGCCCTTAGGTCCCTTTTCTGTCTGGGACCTGACACTCTCAGTTTCTAATAGTATTTTCTTAAATCTTGTCACTGCCAGTCTGCTATGCAAATACTCCTAAGCACACCCCTCCCTGCCTTCAATGTCACAATCTGTCCTTTTCCCTCCCTGACTCACGCACAATCATCCGGGCACAGACATCACAGAACTTGGGCTTCTTGAAGAAATGATCTTTGAATTTGTGGGGCTTATCATTGACAAGCTTAGGAGGTTCTGGGGGCAGCTCCTCCTCCTCTTCTTCCTCCTCCTCCTCTTCCTCATAGATGTAGTAGATGGGGCCCCCCCCAGCTCCCACTGCCTCCCCATTGGCCTGGGGCTCTGGGGGGAGCTCCATCTCCTTTGTCTCTGTAGACTCCTTCCTGAATAACTGCTTCAGCCGCTGGAGCTGAGGAAGGGAAGGAAGGAAACCCAATGTTAAAAGAACTGTCATGCTCTCTGGAGTAGGTAAGGCTGAAGCCAACTAGATGTTTCTTTAGCCCTGGGCAAGGGGCACACCCAGGATTAGGAGGTATGGGGGCTGCAGGTGCTGGCTAGCATTCTAACAATAAATGAGTCACATACAAGTGACATCAATTCAAGCACTTTTGTTCAAGGGCTACAATAGTTTCCCAGCTCCCCACACCTGGTCCTCAAGGCCAAAGACTCACCCCACTTTGCCGAGTCTCTGCTGGGATGGAGGGCTTAGGGGACTCGAGCATCTCCTTCTCTGTCATCCTGCAAGAGGTTGGACCCCACTATGGAACCTAATCTGCTATTCTTCCCTCCCTTATTCCTGTCCCTTGGAGTAGGGTGGTCCTTGAAGGAGAGGCTTCTGGAGAAATTTGATTAAACAGAGATCCTTTCAGAGGACTTAAGAACAAAGACTCCATGGAGGTCCAGGGAAAAGTCCAATAGACTGAAGAACTTCCTAATCAACTCCTCAAACTTGCACCTATCCTTCCAGCCTGAGGGCCAACCCCAGAGTTTACAGCTCCAATATGGTGCTCAAGGCTGCATGGTTTAGGGCTTTCTCGCTTTCTCTACAGGTACTTGTTTTGTCTGGGAATCTGTGGGCAACAAAGTGACACACACCTTCCCACATCACCTTTCTTCAAGAGGTTTAATGTGTCCTCTAGCATGCACAGAGGGATGGGCTGGAATGTTTACTCTTCCCTCTTTCTTGGGCCCCAGGGGCCCAATGCCTACTTCCCAGCCTGCCTTGTCCTCAGCTATTTTAAGTTTTCGAGTAATATGAGCCTTTCCTCCCCTTACTACTCCAGTCCCTTGACCTCACCCCCACCCCACTCTCCAATCATAGCTCTTGTCGTGGAGTGGAATAATAATTTCACTCCGAAACCCCAAACTACTCAGACAGGAGAGAAATGAAAAAGCTGTACAGACTATGGATTGGGGAGCTGGGGTGAGCAGTCATGGAAATGGAAAAAGGATGAAGAGGCAACTTACATTTGAGGTTCCCTAAGTCAGGCCACAGTCTGTGGAGGGAAGAGGGAGCCCCTGGGGTCTTGAAGGTAGTGCTGGGGAAGGCCTGGTCCTCTTCTTTGGGGGCTAAGCCCCCCCCCCAGTACCCTCTGACTCACACCAGCCACCCAGACGGTATTCTAGCCTCTCGCCTTGGTGTCAGAGCTGAAATGACAGGGCTGGAGGAAAGTGGACAGCTGAGCAACACAGCTGACACAGAGAAATTGGACACGGGGAGGTCTGGACCCTAACTCCTCCCATCCCCCAGTCACTGTTCCGGGTTATTCATCCACGGTGTACAGGTCAGTATTGGCTAACCTCAGGAAGGGAGTGTCTGCTCATGCTGCATACTCATTTGGGTGACTTTAGATGACTGACAGCTTTCTCATTCTTTTCCCCCAAGGTCCAAACACCTCCCCAATTCTACCTTCCGTGGACCTACTTTAGGAGCCAGCCTCCAATTTCTCAGCCACTGTCTTCTTGTGGCATGTGTTCTTACACCCTTAGGCACATATCTAGTATCAAGCCTTAAGGAAGGCAAGGTCTTAGAGCTCGTGAAGAAAGGGAAGTTTTGGTTCTAGAGCTCTCCTGTCAGCAAGCCTAGACTGCTTTCTTGTCTGTAGGTAGTTGGAGGGCTACATTGCTGCCATCTTGTAAGGGGGTGGAGAACACTCCCAGTAATGCTTAATTTCCTCCAGTGGCCCCCAGGACACCTTCCCCTTACTTCTCTAAAGTCTTGTCCTCAGGATGACAGGAATTCCAAGAGCTGCAATAAAAAGCCAGGCTAGAATTTCCATGTGAGGAGCTCTGGGGGTGTGAGAGCCTGTTGAACAGGTAGAGATGATCTCATTAACATTGGACAGAAGGCAATAGCTGCCACATAGGGAGTTTTTACTGTCTGGAAGAATGCCCCCTTCCCCATGAGAACCACACACTCTTGGAGGTAGGATGGGTAAACACCAAACTTCCTAAATAATTTTGATTCCCTGATTCTACCTCCCTCCTCAAGGCCCCAGTGTATGAATGGATGGCTGGATGAGGTATCTGGCATTCGTATCTCAGAGGGATGTGCTTTCTCCTACTCTGGGCTGTGACATGGCTCAAAGAGGAGATATTCCCATCTTGGAGGAGAACAATTTGGGGTGGTAAGGTAATGCTGCTTTCTCCATACCTCTTAGAAGGTAAGGATTATGTCGGAGGCTGGGTCAGACAACCTTTGGAGGAGCCTGGCTAGAGATACCACTACCCAGACCCAAGAGATTTCCAGGGCAATGTGCTTTGTCACTTCTACCTCTGCTCTTTTTTCTGTTCTTAAGGAGTGGGTGAGATTGAAGAGGGGCTGCTGGATGGTTCTGGGACTATAAGCCCTTTAACAACTCAGGTGTGACTGTACATGACAGGCCAGCTTTGAGAAGACTGAAAGAGGAAAAGCTCCATCTCACAGGCAGGTGATTTCTTTCTCCAGCTTCACAGGATGGGGACTGTTGAGCATTTTGGCACTGTAAGTTGAATTGATGAAGCTTTTATTGTAAAAAAAAATCCACTTCTATTCCTGCTGGGTAGCACTCAATCCTTTGGCTTTAGGATTAAAGAAAGGCCCACTACCTCCATCACTGAAGTATTCAGAAGATTAGAAGGACAGGTATGAGGCCAGCATCTCAACTCAGCTCTGGACCCCTCCGCAACTCAGCTACCAGGGCCCAAAATTAGTACTACAGGACTAACGGGGTAGAACAACCTGCAAATGTAACCTAGTTAGTCCAAGTCTCTTATTTTACTGAGGAACACTCAGAGGCCCAGAGTCAAGAAGTGATGTGCTTGATGAACCACAGTTAGTGGCAGTGTTGGGAGAGCTCAGAAGCAAGGTCCCATTAGAGACCCAGCCATTGACGGGATGCAGGGAATAGTGTTAGGAAGATGTTTGTTCAGAAGCCAAGGAAAGCCATCCCAACCCACATTACAATCCCGCCAATGGCTCTGGGGCTGTACCTGCCCAGGACTGCCAACCCCCACCCATACCAGGGCAGCAACAGAGAAACAGCGATTGATGTTCAGTGACAGATTTTTTTTTTATATTTTAAAAACAAAATCAACCTCCCTCCTCCAAGTAACCCCCCAAACAAACAAACAAAAAATCAGATTAAATAAAATTTACAGTGAATATACCCAGCAAACATCTGTATGTGCATTAAATACTGTCTGTTACTGTGGCACGAACCTCAAACAAACAATATGCAAGTGTTCTGGGAGGTGGGGGGAAGCCCAAGTTTTAACTTTGTGGAGTTTGGGGAGACAAGATGGGAGAAGTGAGAGAAAGGGAAAATCAATTTCATTTTTCTTAATTCTGTCCATATAAATATACTCATACAGACCAAAAACAAAAAGGGAGTTTGGGATGGTAAGGAGATAGGAGTGAGGGACCCTCCTGATTCTACCTGACCAACAAATATGAAAGAAATTAATTTCATGGTAGTAGAGGAGTTAAAAAAATGACAGAAGAGGATGGGAAGGAGAGGGAAACAGCGGGGGTCAACCAGGGAAAAAGAGGGACCCATGGCTGGGGAGCAAGGAGTCCCACTCCAGGGTGAGAGTCCGTTTCCATCTTCATCCCTAAGGTCTTATGTTCCAGTTCAGCATCTGTCACCTTACTTTGTGCCTCTGTCTGTGATCTGTCAGGATTCCTGGACCTCCTCTACCCAGCCCTGCCGTGCCAGGTCCTTCTTCCCCTCCTCCACTTATTGTGAGCTGGCTCGCTCCAGGATCCTCAGGTCATAGTTCTTTTTGGCCATTCGAAGTTTGAAGCGACTCACGGAGTTGTTGAGGCGAAGGGAGGCATTTTGGGCAGCAAGGGAGCTGGGGAACACAGCCACGATGGTGTACAAGGCAGCGAGGTCCGCATGGCGGCCATTCTCGGCAGTCCCACCATTTTCCCCACCACCCCCGCCAGGCAGCCCTTGAGCATCCTTGAGCCACTGGATCTTGGCGCCTGACATGGCGAGCTGAGTGAAGAGTTTGTCTGCCTCCATACGGGTGATGCCCTCAGGGAGATCTGTCACCTCCAGCACCCGCCCTAGGACTGGAAGAGGAGGAGAGAGGATATGGTTGTCAGAGGTCTAGAGCAGGGAGGACTGGACAGTAGCCAGCAGAGAAGTGTGCAGCTGACCGAGTCTGCATAAGATTATCTCAAAAGCCTGGCCTTTCCCACTTACCCCTCTCCTCCTTCCCCAACGCCCCGCCATCCAGACTCTGATCTGGGCAGCTAGGAAATCAGGAACCTTCCTCGTCTCCTAGACCAGAGGTGTGGCATGAGACTGGGAATCCGAATCCCAGATTTTATATCTGCAGAACCACACCTCAGCTCTCTCACGGTGCCATCACTGTGAAGCAAGTGCAGCTTCTGCTGATGTTCACTCCCCAAGTCACTATCCAACCTGAAATAGATCCCATGGTTCCCTTCCCGGAGAAGGCTCAATGGGATTCCTCTTTCTTATCAACTAGGGAAGTCAGTTTCCCATCCTTTTCTTGTTTAGCAAACTGCTCCAAACGGGAAATCCTGAGCGCTCTTGTAGGCCTCATATGGAAGGCTGGCCGGAGGAGACCTGCTCCCCTGGATTCTCTAATTATTAAGTTTTGATCGAGGACTACCAAAGGTAGACATCCTATATTGGGATCAGGACTACTATTATAAGACTGTGTTACTAACAGGCTCAGCAACCCCCATCCCTGAGCTGGTCCCCATTTTTATCATCTTCCCCAGGGCCTGGTAAGGAGGACTCAGAAACTTCACTTCCCCGGCTCTTTCCTGCTCTTGAATACAAAAGGGTCCCATTCCCCCTCTCCACTCTAATCTGATTTTTCTCACCCACCCTGGGCTGGTTAGGCAGGGCCAGAGGACTAAGAATCTTCTCTAGGGGATCCAGCATCCTGTGACTCACCAACATCTGTTGTCCCCAGGTCAGTAGAGGCAGATTTGAGTGCTTGTCTCTTGCTCCGGTTTCCATGCTTCAATCCGCTCTGCCCCTTAAACATTAGAGAGATAAATCTCATCCCAGGTCAGTACTATGGACTGCCCTGCATCCCAGTGTCTGCCTGAGATAAGGGAGGAGCACTAACCCTGAGGACCCCACCCTGCCTGGCAATCAGCCTGGCCAGAGAATGGCCACTGAGAGACAAAGAACCTCTCCTTCTTGGCACTGGGGTCAGCTGGGAGGCATGAGCATGGGAGTGGGGTAAGGCCCCTCCTACTTTATTCATTCCCTCTGTAGCTGTCTCTCTTGTCCACCTAGCTGGTTGAGGGAGATGGTTCAGAGAAAGGGGCCTGAATGAGTAAGGGGGTATGATGGCCCTAAGACTGATGATGGACACCCTTACCTGGTGCACTGTGTAAGTTGACTGACCGTGGAGCAAAGGAGGGCAGATGGACAGATTATACTGTAATGGCTGGCCCAAGAGGGAGTAGCGCCCATCACCTAGAGAGGAAGAGCAGATGGCTTTCTGGGAGTTACAGAGTTGTGGTATGACTTTTATGACCTTCGTGGGCCTTGGGGACAGACGGCAATCATAAACACTATTCCTACTTTATCTCTAATAGGAGAGCCCATGTGCCTGACATAAGAGCTGTCTCTTTTCCTCAGCCCCCTGGCTCCCAGCTGTATCTCAGATACATGGGGCAATTAGGATCCCTCACCATTGAAGGAAGGCTCTGTCCACTGGAGGAAAACTGCAGACCCCTCATGAATGTCTTTTATTTCTTAGGTAGATTCTCTCCACCCCAGAGCCAGGGCTCAAGTTTCTGACTCATGTGAGGGGCACTACAGAGTAGGGTACAAGAGCACAGACTTGGAGTCAGACTGCCTAAGTTCATGTCTTGGCTGTTATTGGAAATGGGATATTGGTACATTTTCCCCTCAAAGTGTAGCTGGGAAGGTTAAACTAATGTAAGACATGCAGAGCTCTTACAGCATAGCACACAGTACATAGTTAAGCACCATGTTACCTGTTACTGTTGAGAAATATTCTATTTCAGAGCACTTTAAAGTTTTAAAACCTTGTCATCTTATTTTCATACTGCTGTGACAGCCAAGACAGAAAGCAGGTAAGTTTATTCCCATCTTATATGTGATTAACCTCATTTTATAGATTAGGAAACTGAGGTCTGGTTTCAAATTTAAGTAACATACTCAACATCACA